ACTCATGACTCACACATTTTGATGAATCGATTCAAATCAACTCATGACTCACACGACATTTTTATTGAACTTATTTCATTCAACCCATGACTCACTATAGGCATTTGTTGATTATTTGACTCAAAGCTATGATAAAATGAATATGCCGCATACCACAATTGTATTAAGCAGCATAGTAGCCTTGACCAAAGATTCAAGCAGCTACCTAGTAGGACTAGGTACATAGGTACCTACTTTGGCAAACATGGTTGATGCAGTTTCCAGTTCCTAAGTCCCAATTCCACTTTTGAATTCTAATATTCCTGCAGATTGGGCTACCTATTCTGTAGCATACTGGTCACTGGTCAGTCTTGCTTCAATTTCTTATCTTGTCACCTACAACAAAGCGAACAAGTTCTAACTGCAAGCAGTCCAGAAAATACTTCAAATGTTTGTACACATCACTTCCATTCAGTTTGCTGTACACACCCAACAATATTTTGGGCTGTAGAAATCAAATACCAATAACATATGAGGTAAGTATGACTGAAATCCATTTATAATGGACACAAATCCAATTGAAGCAAGGCTGACCAGTTGCAAATCTTACCTGCCTTTTCAAAGACATTGACATACCAATTACCAAAGTCACTGTGCCCACCGGAAATCGCAGTTCATGTCTGATACCCATGGCCTTGGTTTGATATTTAAATGCATTTCATAACTCAATCAGCTTTGAAATTATTTCTATCTGTATGAAATGAATCTAAGGCATTCTCCAGAAGCCGTGATATTGAACAGATTTTTAGCCAACTGGCGCCGCATGGTGGCGCTAGCAGAGCGTATAACACTAGCGCTCTACTAGCGCCATCATACGGCAACAGCTGGCAAATAACTGAGTCAATACCAATGCCATTCTCCAAGGCCAATGATTCCGTGTTGATATGAAAACGGCGCATTTGAGCGTCATATATGCTAAGCCTTACGCACGCTAATCTACTGCATAAAGGTACCAATTTTGGAACACGATCGGGAAGAGGACAAAGTCTCCACTCTAGCACATACTAAACGCCTAATGACATTGATACAAAGACCCCGAATGCTTTGACGAGTAAATGTGCATCAGGAACGGATTTTCCTACTTGCTCATCATAGTGATACGTTTGTAATACGCAATTACTCTTTTCATGGATCCCAGCTCAAAGACGCTAAGATCAAAATCAGGTCAGTCCCAGAAACTTTGGTTTTTATTCTATATCTACTAAGTACTAACGTAACAACAAATTGTAGTTTGTTTTCTACGTTAATGAATTGGCACTAAGTCATGATCGCCATAGAGATCTTATATACATGATCGCAACCTTGCGGTACTTCAATGCCATTTCGATTTTGCAGTACTTTAACGCCAACAAAATTTTGCAGTGTTTTAACGCCTGTTTTGTCTTGCTATTGGTGTCGACATTTCTGGCGGACGTTACAGTTTTATGTTTCTCTATTTTGATTTTGATTTTCTGGTTTGGGACGTTATATAGTTGATATTTGAAGGACTTATGTATTCCATTCTAAAAACGAATATCTTTTACCAAGAATATTAGCAAAGGTATCAGTATATTTATCTTGTTCCATGTTTGATGTTAGGTTCTGACTGATGAAGTCACTGCTCCATGGATCCCCAGTTCACATCATGTTTAGCAGCTGTAGTAAAAGGGGCTTGGGTGAGCATGAAATTCATTGTTCTTCTTACGCCTTATATTATTAAATATGACCTGAATCTGGTTCTAAAATACAAACTATGAAGCGAAGTGAAATGACCATGGCATGAGTGTTTTACTTTGCACCACAAGGTTGCTCAATTGGAAAGAAAATATTTTCTTCTTGCACAGTACACAATTTTCCAAATGAATTTCGGGAACGGGTCCATCTGGTTCCAATGCTGACCTAGACCGGGTCTGACCGGTTCTGGAAATGTGCCAGTCAGACTGGGTCTGGGTCCGGGTCCCAAAATTTTCCAGTTTTGCCACCTCTAGTACCTAGGTACCAACTGCCAAATGCTTTTGGCTCATTAGGCGCCTGTGCCTGAGCCTCTGAGGCTCTTGTAAGTCTGAAATATGGAGTTAAGTGATGGCTAAAGCTGAGGGGGTGATCTAGCATTGATTATTAGGGTGTTGATGGTGACTTGTAAACGACTCAAATTTTTTTTGAGTCGATTCTTTGTTTGAGTCTGAAAATTTGAATCGATTCATCAAATGACTCATGATGTTAAATTTAATTGATTCGAATCAACTCATGACTCATCAAGTTCCTCGATGAAGTGATTCGAATCAACTCATGACTCATCGAAAAACGGTTTGATTCTGAGTCGATTCACGAATCAACTCAGAGTCGTTTACAAGTCTGGCCCACATACCCAAAGATATCATGTCTTTTATACGATCGTCAGTTTGATGATACCAAAGCTGTATTGGACAGATGACGGCTCAATCATTTTCGCTTTGCGCTGCCGGTGACCATATTTGGTGCGCACGGCAGCGCTTAGAGGCTTCATTTGGCTGATCCGCCGTTAACCTTTGAAGAAACACGTCATGCATGGCGCCGCGGTGCGACAAAGTGGAGCTCCGCTACCGACCAGCGCGGAGGCTCGTTGGGTCGGGGTCGGTCAGTTTTTCTCCCTCTGCCACCCATTGTTCTCCAGGTGGGCCGCGTCGACCGCTTGTCGGCCGGGTCACGCGTGTTTCCGTCGCGGAGCATGTTTGCGCATTTGTAGAAACACGCTACTTGACTCGAGTGAGAACCAACACAAGTGGCCCGCGGATACTATAATTAGTTAACTTAACATTCCATAAAAACAGCGGTGCTTCCACTCAAACATTGACATTGCGGATGTTTTAAAGTAGTTTACTTTAAAAGAACAAGGGGGTATTCTAGCATCACAGGTGTGGATTTCGTCCTTGGGAAGAGTGTTACTATGTTGAACGACTGATTTAATTTCAGTTTCAACTTTCATCTGCCATGTTCTGCATCTTTGCCTCGGTTTCTCATCCCATTCTCATCGCATATCGCACCCATAAGAAATGCACAGCCAATGCGTTTTCGCCTGAGTGTTGTATCATTCAGAAGCAGCCGGGAGTACGTTTCAGTTCTCACTAATCAGCCTAGTTCGAGAATTCCAATAAGGATGATGGCAAGAACGCCATGGTTGCCTCAGAAAACATTCTGTTTTATTGCCAATCATCTTACTGATATGCTAATTTCCCGTGCGGACAGGTTCAACACCAAGTTAATCACAGACTAGCATGCAACAAGCATGCTCTATGAACCAGGCGCCTCGTCTCACATGCTGCTGCGGTCGGATTGCTGGCGTGCCTGCTGTGTGTCGGCTCGGCCTCTGCGGCGACCGCGGCTGGCAGCGGCTCGTGCCCAAACCGGCGAGCTGCACCTGCTCACGAGCCCGTGCACCATGACATCACGGGCCGGGGCGCACCGGATTTTTGCCGCAGACAACATCGGCTCGAATGTCATTCAGAGCCCAGTCCATCACTAGCAACAGAGGCGCCGGCGGATAAATCACAGCGGCCCTGCACTGTCATGAATGGACGGCCGCTGTATGTCCGAACTGCTGACTCAGAAACGAGCTCAGCCGCGAGGTGCACCATGGTCAGACATTGATCGAGCCCCACCATGCGCCTGTGACCTTCTAGAGCGATTCTATTACTAAACGGCGATTGTGTATAGTCTGAAATGACCGCTGATTGACTAACCCGCGCCCTGGTGGGGGGGGGGGCTATTTTTTGCCCCCCCCTCCAGACTTTTCGATATATCTCCAGAACCACTGCGCCGATCGTCACCAAACTTTCAGTACCCTCCCGGACATCAATTTTACACATTGTGACCAAAAATTTTTCCAAAGGCTATGATAGGTTGGCCGGAAATGACGTCAGAGTGACGTCATGTTCTGCCGTTTTCGACTCAAAAAAGGGTTTCGCGGGAAGAGCTGCCAGGCCTATAGCTTTGCAAATACAGAAAAATGATACAAACATAAAAGCTGTAGAATGAACAGGGCTACAAAACTGCTATCTCGGATTTTTGAAATTTTTGGATTTTGACCCCCAAAAATAAAAAAATAGATTTTTTGAATATAATAGCCAAAAAATCCAAAAAGTTTTTCGAATTTCGAAAAAAACCGGAATAAATGTGATAGTCCTTACCACCTTCTATCTACATACCAAATTTGAGATCGATACCTCTTTTTTTGGCCAAGTTATAGCGAAAAAACTGTTCAAAATTGATGACGTCAAATTTTCAAACTCAATTTTCAGCAATTCTAGACCTCGTAGCGCAAAACAAAGACCACCATTAGACTCCCCGTGACGAGCTGCATCGAATCAATACCCATTTTATGCAAAAATATCAACTTTGAAATTTGACCTTTTTTGACCTGACCTTGACCTGACCTCCACCAGAAAGTGACCTAAACCGTACCTGATGGTCTTATAACCAACACCATTGAGTTGGAAATGAAAAACTGGCCATAAAACATGCATCGCATAACCTTGTAAAGTTGGGTTCATGTGGTGACCCTTGGTGACCTTTGGTGACCTGACCTGTGACCTGACCTGGTATGACCAGTGACCTCTAACAGCAACATATCTACTAGGCAACTGACGCCCTATCGCTGATTCCCGACAAAATGCGTTTTTCTCGGTGTTATAGCGCATTCCCTAGAAGACCCGTGAACGGTGAAACATTTCATCTTTGACCTGACCTGTGACGTCATCGGTGACCCCGAGGTCAATAAAATTTGGTTTCCTTCGACAAATTTGACAGGCCTTTTGAACGCCGTTTGAATTTTTCGGATCTGTCCAGTAGTTTCGGAGATACGAGGGGGGGGCAAAAAATAGCCCCCCCCCCCCCCACCAGGTCGCGTTATAAACAGACCCCACCAGGGCGCGGGCTAAAATGACTGAAGGTCCTTCATTGATCAGGGCTAGGGTTCGTGTTTCAACGTTTTTCTTCTTTTCCAGGGCTTCATGGGACAACAATCTATGTGATTTTAAGTGGAACGCATCACATATCAAAGGTGAGGCTGTCTTCTAGCGTCTAGCTCGTTGACATAATAGCTATGCATTTATTGCCATTTGTTAGACACCGATTGAACTTATATGAGATGGTCTATTCTGTACAGCATTACTTAAACGTCGCGCTTGACTTGACCTCACTGACCTACCGCTGACCCCGGAGGTCGGTGCTGACCTGCTGCTGACCCTGGCGGTCGGCGCTGAGCTGTCGCTGACCCCGCTGACCCCGGCGCGGCGCGGTCGGCGCTGACTTGCTGCTGGCCCCTCCATGACCTGCCGCTGACCCTGGCAGTTGACGCTGACCTGCCACTGACCCTGGTGACCTGATGACCCCAGTGACCCGCTGCTGACCCTCTTGACCCGCTGCTAACCCCGGCGGTCGGCGCTGACCAGTTTTAGATCAATAAGCGCCGACGGCTCTGCCCGGTGTCCGCGACCACCCGGTGTAAGCACTATGGGTAACTGATGGCCCGTGCAGCCGCCGGCCGGCTCAGAAGCCACGCGACAACAGCAGTTTATCTTAACTCCGGCTGAATGATTTACGCGTGACAGTCGCCATTTGCCGGCGACTTTCCCGCGCCGCCCTGCAGTGACATGCACATTGCACAGCAGACCTCTAGCAGCTTGCCGCGAACAGCTTACGACACCATATCGAGGACAGATGGTAGGGCTTCCTCACTGACTAGAAACCGTGCGGTCAAACAAAACAGGAAGAGGCCACCTGCCTCACACTGCTCCACCATCCGTGTGTACCGGAGTGTGTACCGCTCAGCATGCACCTGTCCCTGTCTCGGCCCCCGTCCGGTGCCTACCGCGTCCTTCACTGGGGGGCGGAGCGGGCACGTCACTCTGTCCTGCCGCCCCCGCCGGCCGGCCGGCACCTCATCTATGCCGCCCACCGGCCCTGCGCTGCCCGACGAGCTATCAGCGTGACCAGAAGGCCAGCAGTGCCCCACCAGCCCCTCTGTGCATTCTAAAGTGGCGCGCGTGCACGGTAACGGCACTTGTTGCGCCACAATCGCCGCAAGTTGGCCGGCCAGTGACGTCACAAACGGCCGGCGGCGAGCGGCCGGACTCGGTAGCTGATTTGTGCGCTGACTTATATGGGATGGAGGTGCGAGTTTTAGGGCGGCTCTGACTCGGCTGATTCGCCGAGCCGGTCCGTGTCGGATTGCTGGAACCGGAGAAACGTTTCGCAAGTGACTGCTGAGACGACGGCAAATGTATTTGAAGTGTGCGTGTCGGCACTTCTTGAGCTCATCTGGAAGAGAAGCTATCGTTAAATGGAGTGCGTGACTGCAGGTGCCCAAAGTGTCTATCAAATGGCCTCGAAATGAACATCAAAGGGGCCGATATAAGTTATTGATGCCTTTTTGACAGCCGTTCAAGAGAAAATTATTATCTATGAACGGATGTAAGCAAGCACCAAAGTTAAATCGGGGGCTTGCACTTACAGGGTAATAAATGCATAACAAGATAAGCAGTTAGCAATGATGTGTTTCTTGTTAGTGGTACCATTAAAGTGGTAGGGTACTCAGCAATTCTACAGACACTGGGGATTGAGTGGGTTCTTGGTAAATGGCGGGGCCCGAGCACAGGGGAACCGCTCGGACCTACCGACTGCGGGTACAGCCCGGGTGCTGTCTGTCTGGCTGCTGGTCGGCACGCCTCAGTCAGCTGTGACAGAATGCCCAGCCCAGAAAGGAAGCACACCGAGTGCATCTAATCAGCGTCCTGCATGTCAATGGCACACTGCAGCAGGCCCCACATTCCAGCACGGTACCTCGGCCGTGTCCACGCTCATCTCTGACTTCACGCTTCTAAATCGAATATTTTTATTTTTATTATATCCGCCATGATGAATAGACCAGAGTCTAATAATGGCAGGTACCAAACTTGGTTATGGTTTGCATTTAGTAACGCCTGCAATACATCGCTGGTATCAGATGAACGCTTACACCGTGTGCTCATGGCGAGAAATGTGAGCAATAAATATTAATATGGTCACTTCTTACATCATGTGCCGTGTATTTAACAGATTATATACCATGCAGTAGGTGCCAGGTTGTTGTACCCAAGGCCGTTGTACCTATTCAGTAGGCGCTGTAGGCTCTAATTTTCACTTAACCTGTCACCTGGTATGAGTTAGTTGAATCTATTAATTAATTGAAGTAGGTTCCGAATAAATACTATGAAGTGCAAATCAGACCTATAACAGATAAATAGAAAATCAAGTATCGTCTTTTTGCGAATATCCAAGTAAAAGTTCACCGGCGACGTTTCTGAGATGGTTGCACTTTGTACAGATTTTCTTTGTGGGAATTTCAGCCTTTCACCTATCCGTTCAGGTTACAAGGCCAGTAGCAATACAGAAGCTGGCCCAGATGAAAAACATAGACTATAATTATCACTTTTCTATGCAGATTGATCCCCTTCAGTAGAACGGAATGGACGGATAAATGCAGCTAACCCGGTAATGTATTCGCGCCTGCATGCCTGCAGGACGTGTAGGTGTGTGCCAGGGCCGGCAGGGTGACCGGGTGCAACTGCTAGTAGTCAGATGGTATCGAGCTGTTAATCTGCTCACAACACCGTTCGGGCGAGACGCTGGAATGTGCAGGGTGGCTGGAGCTCCCCCAATGGGAGTCGCGGGGGCTCGGGAAGTGAATGGCCGGGTTTCACTGCATTATGTCGTGCTCGTGTTCTATCTCGGTGACTGGTGAGCTATCCTGCCTGGGCTCTACCGGGCTAGTTGCCCAGCATTAATCCATCAGCGGTGCGATAGGAGTCGCTCTTATCCTTTCACGCCAGTCAGCGAGACCAGAGCCAATGAGACACGGGTTCGGTGAGACAGGGCGCTATGCTCCCACCCAACCCATGGCCTCTTTCCTTTCTTATATCGCGGCGCAGTTCGACCTGACCTGTCTCGGTCCCTGTCTCGGGCGGCGGCGGGGCCAGTCCGGTAATCGGCGCCCCAGCGCGGCGGAGGTGTCGACAGGGCGGCTCTGGCCGGCGCCGATACTCAGTGATTAATCGTGCGATCAGGAGCGCAGTCCTGCTGAGCCAGCCGCGGCACCGCGCCGCTCAGGGCGGCCGCACCGCCGCGCCGGACCGCCGCCGGATGGACGACGGGGGTGGGTGGGTGGTGGACAGAAGGTGGGTGGACGGAGCGGACGGCGGGGAACGCTGGGGAATCGCGAATGGTCAGGTGGTGGTGGACAGTGAGAGATGGTCAGTGGCGCTGGGAAGCGGTGGGGCTCATGGAAGGCCTTTTTTCTTTCCATGTTTGGACCCAGACCGACTCCACTGTATTGGGCGCTTCCCGTGTCAAGCATGCGTCCGGCTCTGGCAGACACAATTAAAGATTGAAATAGTCTATAGCCGTCCGTTCCCGGTACTGTGGGGCGCCGTGTTTGTCTCTGCCGACTGCCGCTCAGGCGGAGGGAATGCTGCGGCCGGCCCCGCGGCGGTGCCGGCCGAGCGACTCTCTCAGCGCCGCCGCCGAGCCGGCTCCGGTGACGCCGCTGACGACACGCCATCCGTCACTCGCCGCCGACGTGACGTGACGTCACGGGGCGTGACGGGCGGCGTGACGGCCGCCCCCTCACGGGCCGACTCCGCCCCGGCCAGCTGGGCACTCCAATCGCTCCTGAGCGGCTCCGCCCCGCGCGGCCCCCGACCTGCCCTCTCAACTCCGCGCACTCCGCCCTTCTGAACTCTCCCACGCCCAGGTCCCGCCCGCCAGTCACCAGGGCCGAGCCCGGTCTCATAGTCCACCTCTTCCCCTCTTCCCCTCTCTCTCTCTTCCGCTCTCGTTTCTCCTAGTCTTCGCACTGTAAAGCCATGCGGAACAGTCTACCTCCTAGGCGTTACACGTAGTGACATCTAGGGGAAGAACTGTCAGTTTGAGGGATTCCGTCCAGCTCGCCACCGATCTGCCCTCGGAACGATGCTATTTTACCTTCATTTATCTATGATGAAACAATTCAGAATCATGGAAACGCTTAAGTTAATTTATTTGCCCAATCACAGTATATCTGTATCTAAACATCTTTTCAACGTTATGCCATGTATTATGCGGAGCAAAGCGGCTCGGTCCCGGACCTCTTTCCACGTTGAGGACCTGCTGGGACTTTTCAGCTGACAAGTGACGTGTGAGCACGTGACATCACACCTCTCCTTATTTCACGCTGCGGCTGAGGTAATGGCCGTCTTAGCCGCCTTATCACTGATGTATCAGACAGGCGCTCAATGGAGACCGGCGGCGGCACGGCTCAATTTACGCCGCAGCAGCGACTGACAGCCGGCCGGCTGGAAGCCGACGGCGCATATGACTAATGCTTCGTCATGCATAATGCAATAATATAGGTGCTAGCACATTCTTTTTCTTACATCAGCGCATCTGTAAGGGAGGGAATCGCTGGGTTTTATCAGATACGGTAGTCTCTGAGGTATTTCCTCAGGTACTAATCAGGTAAATACATAGGTATACAACACAATGAACTTTCGAGGAGTAGACAGCTAAGCGCGTCAGTACATAGCCCGTATGTTTTCGGCGCGCTTTGCAAGCTGATACGGTGCTATTGACTAATACCATCCTGCCTCGGCCCGGCGCGGCGACGGCTAGGTGATAAACGTTGATGTCGTCCATAGTTGCATACAGTCGTTGCCGCCACAAATTAAAACGTTGCTGTGGCCGGGTTTGTTTATTCTGCGGCCAGTGTCGTGTTTCAGCCGGGTGGCTGTGGCCGGTCGGCTCCGTGCCGGCTCTGGTAGCCCACTGAGGGACGGCCCGCCGCCGGCCCACAAATTGCCCGCGGACAGCGACCCGGCTGGCCCGCCCGGCCCGCCGAGGGGTGTGGGCACGGGCCGCCGCCGGGGCTCCCCGCTGCACCGCCGCCGGCTCATGTGCATTGCTAATGGGCGGCGGCGCGGCCAACCGGCGCTGTTGGTCGTGATCGGGTCGGGCAGGTGCGCTGACGTGTGCCCGCCCCGAAGAGAG